AGTCGAATCGGCGATCGAAATGAATCGGATCGGCGGAAATTGGCAGCCGAGTAGGGACAAAGCCGAATGGGTAGACATCGGCAGGCGAACTAGTAGGCCTCCACGAAGAAATCGGAGGCCAAATCGTAATCCGAGGTCGAATCGAATCGGAATCGGAGGCTATCGAAATCGAATCGACTCGACTCGGAAAAATCGAAATCCAAATCGAGAGCGGAATCGAAATCGAAATCGAATCGGACGAACCGAAAATGAGCTCCGCCGCGGGTGCCCTGCGCAGCCGGGTGCCGTGCGGCGCCCGCCGCTGCCGCGGCGGCAGCCCCTGCCGTGGGCGCTCCCCGGCGGACTGGCGGCCGCCGGGGCTGCGGCCTCCCCGCGGGGGCGCGCGGCCGCGCGGCGCTCCGTGCCGCGCGGGGGGCCAGGCGCGGAGGCGCCGAGGGGGGGCCGAGGGCGGTGGTGCTTCGGGGCGCTGCCGGGAACCTCCTCCTCCTCCTCCTCCTCCTCCTCCTCCTCTCCTCCCCTCCTGCTCCTGCTCTGCTCCTGCTCTCTCCTCCTCCTCCTCCTTCTCCTCCTCCTCCTCCTCCTCCTCCTCCTCCTCCTCCTCCTCCTCCTCCTCCTCCTCCTCCTCCTCCTCCTCCTCCTCCCGCTCCTCCTCCTCCTGCCAGGGGACGCATTGAAGCACAGTCGGCCCGTATGGTAACGATGCGCGGGTAAGGGTGCAAAAGGGCCTTGAGGGCCATCTCGAAGCCATGCGCGCGGGGCGCGGCCGACGAAAGCACCCAGAGATGGACCGAGGAGGCAAGGATGCGAGGGTGTCCTTGAGAAGGTTGCCCGTCCTTACTGTGCGGGTTGACTGCAAGAAACCCAGAGCCACACTGTCCGACTCTGCCAACACGCGAAGATGTCGAGCGCAAGCGGCACGTCGAAGTGCAGGAAAGCGCGAGCCGCGCGTTCCCACAACACCAAAAATCTAAATCGCCGTTACCTACCTCGCCGTAGGCCCGCCTACGAAAGCCCGCCAGCATCCGCGGGGTCGCGGAGCGCTCGAACGGGAGCTTCCCCCAGGGTCCGACAACCCGCACCCACACACACACACACACACACACACACACATAGGCAGTCCTCCCCCTTCCGACACTCCTATGGCTGTGGGTGCGTATTGCTCATTCGTCACAGGCTTAGGTCGGGCATGTCATCCTACAGGCGGATGTTGGAGGAAAGTGCAAAAAAAACACCAGAGAATAACCCCAATCAGTGTAATCGATAGTGAGGACGATTTTTACGGTCGATCGAGAGACCGATAGTGAAGTCGATTCACTGAGATCGATAGTGAGATCGATCGCGAGATCGCTCGTGCGATTTATAGTGAGATCGATTGGGAGATCGATAGTAAGATCGATTGTGAGATCGGTTATGAGATCGATAGGAAGGTGGGTAATGAGATCGATGGTGAGACCGATCGATAAAAGGATCGACCAGAAACCGGTAACCCGACCGCCTACCGAAATCGGACCGGGTTCGCAAAATCGCTCAATCTCCGCTAGGACACCTTCAGTGCAAGCACTGATAGGGAAATGATGAGAAAGATTGATTATCCCAGCAAAGCAACCTAACAGCGATGTGTAGGAGCATATCTGGAAGCATTCCCCTTAAGATTCAGATGAGAATCCAGTTGTAGGATTCTGCTGTTCTCGTAGTCGTAGTCGCATTCGCGATGACAGTCGCAGTGGCAACTGCAGTCGCAGTCACAGCCTCAGCCTCAGCCTGCCTCAGCCTCAGCCTCAGCCAGCCTCAGTCTCAGCCTGCCTCAGCCTCAGCCTCAGCCTGCTTAGCATCAGCATCAGTCTGCCTTCAGCCTCGGCCTCAGCCTCAGCCTCAGCCTCAGCCTGCTTCAGCCTCAGCATCAGTCTGCCTTCAGCCTCGGCCTCAGCCTCAGCCTGCCTCAGCCTCACCCTGCATCAGCCTCAGCCTCAGCCTCAGCCTGCCTCCTCAGCCTGCCTCAGCCTCAGCCTCAGCCTCAGCCTCAGCCTCAGCCTCAGCCTCAGCCTCAGCCTGCTTCAGCCTCAGCCTCAGTCTGCCGTCGGCCTCGGCCTCGGCCTCAGCCGGCCTCAGCCTCAGCCTGCATCAGGCCTCAGCTTCAGCCTGCCTCAGTCAGCCTCAGCCTGCCTCAGCCTCAGCCCGCCTCAGCCTCAGCCTCAGCCTCAGCTTGCTTCAGCCTCAGCCTCAGTCTGCCTGCAGCCTCGGCCACAGCCTGCCTCAGCCTCAGCCTGCATCAGCCTCAGCCTCAGCCTCAGCCTGCCTCAGCCTTAGCCTCAGCCTGCTTCAGCCTCAGCCTCAGTCTGCCTTCAGCCTCGGCCTCAGCCTCAGCCTCAGCCTGCCTCAGCCTCAGCCTGCATCAGCCTCAGCCTCAGCCTCAGCCTGCCTCAGCATCAGCCTCAGCCTCAGCCTCAGCCTGCCTCAGCCTCAGCCTCAGCCTGCTTCAGCCTCAGCCTCAGTCTGCCTTCAGCCTCGGCCTCAGCCTCAGCCTGCCTCAGCCTCAGCCTGCATCAGCCTCAGCCAGCCTCAGCCTGCCTCAGCCTCAGCCTGCTCAGCCTCAGCCTCAGCCTGCCTCAGCCTCAGCCTCAGCCTGCTTCAGCCTCAGCCTCAGTCTGCCTTCAGCCTCAGCCTCAGCCTCAGCCTCAGCCTGCCTCAGCCTCAGCCTCAGCCTCAGCCTCAGCCTCAGCCTCCTCAGCCTCAGCCTGCCTCAGCCTCAGCCTCAGCCTCAGCCCTCAGCCTCAGCCTGCCTCAGCCTCAGCCTGCATCAGCCTCAGCCTCAGCCTCCTCAGCCTGCCTCAGCCTCAGCCTCAGCCTCAGCCCTCAGCCTCAGCCTGCCTCAGCCTCAGCCTCAGCCTCAGCCTCAGCCTCAGCTCAGCCTGCCTCAGTCTGCCTTCAGCCTCGGCCTCAGCCTCAGCCTGCCTCAGCCTCAGCCTGCATCAGCCTCAGCCTCAGCCTCAGCCTGCCTCAGCATCAGCCTGCCTCAGCCTCAGCCTCAGCCTGCCTCAGCCTCAGCCTCAGCCTGCTTCAGCCTCAGCCTCAGTCTGCCTTCAGCCTCGGCCTCAGCCTCAGCCTGCCTCAGCCTCAGCCTGCCTCAGCCTCAGCATCAGCCTGCCTCAGCATTCAAAATGTGGCCCGGGAATGGAGTTCTGGGAACTCGAAGAACACGAAGTGGCCTACAGTTGGCTCCGGGCATTCAAAATCATGCCCAGGAATGGAGTTCTGGGAACTCGAACACCACGAAGTGGCCTACAGTTGGCTCCGGGCATTCAAAATCATGCCCAAGAATGGAGTAGTGGGAACTCGAAGAACACGAAGTGGCCTACAGTTGGCTCCGGGCATCCAAAATCATGCCCAGGAATGGAGTTCTGGGAACTCGAACACCACGAAGTGGCCTACAGTTGGCTCCGGGCATTCAAAATCATGCCCAGGAATGAATGGAGTTCTGGGAACTCGAAGAACACGAAGTGCGTTACTGTTGGCTAAAAAAGTCCCCGGCATCCTCCCCCGGATCGCGCCCAGACCCCCCTGGGGCGTCAAGATGCTTTCTTTTGACCCTACTAGGAACCTATCAGTCTTCGCTGTTGGGTAAAAAACAGACATAAAGAGCAGGAGAACTCGTCCCCTGACAATTTTGCTGTTTAACCATTCTCGAAGAGTCTCCTCCTGTGGAGCATGCCCGACTTAAGCATAGGCAGCACCACCCTCCTGTTTGGAGTCCCGAAACGGTGCGGTGACAGACCGTGCGGTGACCTCGAAATCCCCCAAGACCTCACCGCACGGTCCGTCAGCGCACGGTTTTGGGACTCTAAAGGCCCCAGCCGCCCGAGACGTCCTCGGAGAACGACCCGAGTCCCAAAACCGGGCGGTGACCCCGAATCCGCACCGGCTCACCACACGGTGTGGTCACCACCCCGTTTGGGGGCCACCGATCCTCCTCCTCCTCCTCCTCCTCCTCCTCCTCCTCCTCCTCCTCCTCCTCCTCCTCCTCATCATCATCATCATCATCATCATCATCATCATCCATCATCATCATCATCATCATCATCATCATTCATCATCATCATCATCATCATCATCATCATATCATCATCATCACCTCCTCCTCCTCCTCTCCTCTCCTCCTCCCCTCCTCCTCCTCCTCCAAGTTTGGGGGCCCCCGATCCTGGCCGCCCCCCACCCCTGGGGCCCTCCCCGGGGCCGGAACTCCTCCCGCGTCGTCCTGTCGACGGCCCCCAGGCGGCCCTGGCCGCAGGGGCCCGGGCAGCGGCGAGAGGCCCCGAGAAACCCGCTGGCTCTACGGCGGGAGGGGGAGGGGAGGAGGAGGAGGGGGAGGAGGAGGGGGAGGAGGAGGAGGAGGAGGAGGAGGAGGAGGAGGAGGAGGAGGAGGAGGAGGAGGAGGAGGAGGAGGAGGAGGAGGAGGAGAAGGAGGAGCAGGAGGAGGAGGAGGAGGAGGAGGAGGAGGACGAGGAGGAGGAGGACGACGACGACGAGGAGGAGGAGACGGCGGGAGGGGGGGAGGGGGGTGGGGGGGGGCGGCGGCGGTGTGGCCTGTGCGAGTTCTCGCCCGCGTCCTTGGACGGGAAGCCCAGGCACAGCATCACGAAGATCAGCACCCCCATCGAGAACGCGTCGGCCTTGAACGCGTCGTAGTCGCACCTGGCAGCGGTCGCGGGGGGGGGGAGGCCCTCGGGCCTCTCGGGCAACCTCGGGGGGGGGCTCTCTGGGGGGGCCCGAGAGGGACATCGGCGGCCTGCTCTGGCGGAAGGAGCCCAGGGACACACCAAGAAGTAGACGCAAATACTAGGATTCCCATATTTTGCCATGTGTTCTGGACTGTCGTCCTCCACCCCCCACTGTCCACATTATCCTATCTTTTATCGGGAATCGACGAGTATCTGTGCCTGTGTTGTTTCCCCTTCTGTCATGGGTGGCAGTGGCGCCTGCTCATGGTGGTCCGATCGCACGGCCTCGCCTCGTCGCGCTCGATTGGGACCTCCGGCGCGGTGTACGACACCGTCCCGATGGGCGTGCGGGTGGTGAAGCGCTCCAGGGACTTCGCGAACCCAAAGTCGCACACGATCACGGAGAACAGCTCCTCCGTGTGCCAGCCCGACACGCCGCTGGAGTCCTGGCGCTCCACCAGGCGCACGTCGATGCTCGACACGAGCACATTCTCAAGCTTCAGATCCCGGTGCACCACGCCAAGGGCGTGGCAGAACGAGACGGCGTCGGAGAGCTGGGCCACGATGTGCGACGCCTCCGCCTCCTCTAAAGGGGCCCAAAGACTTATGGTTCCCGAGATTCACCATAATTTCCCAGATGGTCCACATATTTTCCCATATTTTCCAAGACACAAGCGAATCCCAAGATTCCCAATATTTCCTCATATGTTCTGGATTTCGTCTTCACTTCCCATCTTTCCCAATATTTGCCTTGGGAATCGACAAATGACTGTGCCTGTGTGTTTTGTTCCCCTCCAGATCCTTCAGGGGTACCGTCCTCTGCACCACATGCGAGAAGAGGTGGCTGCCGGGCACGAAATCGGTAACGATGAACACCTGCGGGAGAACAGCGCATGCAGGAGCAACAGCATTTGGAGACAGATCACGAGGAGTTCTGGGGCAACGATGGAACCCCACCACATATCCAGTCCCAGGCGGCGCCCAGAACGCTGCCTGCGGACCTCAGCTGTTATGTTTACGTCATTGCTCGTTCCCCGGTGGATTGCCCCACATAGCTTGCACCACACAGAGTTGCACTGCAGCGCGTAGCCTGCAACTCACAGATCGAACCACGTAGACTGCACCATATTAGGCATCCAGGTGGCAACGACTCACTGTTTGGGGTCCACGTTGGCAAACATAACATAGACCAACAAAATATAATACGAAAAAACAAAAGGAATACCAAACTCTTCTTCCTCCTCCTCCTCCTCCTCCTCCTCATCCTCATCCTGGTCCCCTGCTCGTCCCCACTGCTCCCTCCTCATTCTCCACCTCGAACTGCTGTCGGTCTTCGTCCCGATTTCTTTCGCCGCCCGTGGGCCCTGTTCACCAGCCAACCGAGGGGATCACCTCTCAACCACAGGCCGGCACCGGAGAGCACTCGTGACAACAGGAAAGAGCCGCCATCAACACTGGAACTCCACAGAACTCCGCTCCCAAAGGCCACCCCACCCCGAGCTGGCTGGTGGCACTCCGTTCTTCAAGGGGCCCAAGGACACACAAATAAATACACACAAAGAACAGGGTCCCCCATATGTTCCTATATTTTCTGTTTTTTTGTCTTCCCCCCACTTCCCATATTTTATGATATTTCCTGGGGAATCGATGATTGATTGTGTCTGTGTGCTTTTTCCCCTCCTGAGTTCTGGGCACTCTCTGGAGGCGCGCCCGGAACGGGGTGCCACCAGCTCGGGGGGGAGCGGCCAGCCCCCCAAGCTGCTGCTAGTGGTTCTTTCCACGCCGGTCGGAAGAAGCAGGCAAAAGCAAGAAGCTGGAAGACGGAGATAAAGCAGATCGGGCTGGGGCCCACCCAGAGGATAGCAAAACGCTACCAAACACAGCGATGATTGAAGTTGAAAGGCGCGAGAATCGAAGAAAGAAGAACGACACAAACAGAAACTGTCGGCGCTCCGCGCGGATTCCCTGGATCTGCGCTGGACCTCCCTCCCTGAGGCGCCGCCGGGGGCGGCCCAGCGCGGATCCAAGAGATCCGCGCGGAGCGCCAAAAATCTGTATGTGCCCTTCTGTCCTCTTCGGCAGAAGCAGGTCGGGATCTGGCAGGATCCGCAAATGCCTGCGTCCCAGAGCTGAACCTAAACGGTGTCTTTCGTTTTCGTGTTGTTCTCGTTTTTCCCTCGATCTGTCTCCAATCCGCCCCTGCCGCAAAACGAAACCGAAAAGAAAACCACCCACGAAATCGCCAAGACACCGGTTATATGTCCACCCCTGCCGCGTCCAACGACCGGCGCGCGTCCTCCCGTGGTGTGCCGCGTGCCGCTGCCTGGGAGGCGGCCCCCCGCGCGCCGCGTCTGTGCGCACCGGCTATCAGTGACCACGAAAAAACACATCCCCAATCCCAAAATCGCGGATTCACCGAGGATTCGAAGCTCGGCCAAAGATTTCGGGGTATGATTTGCGTTCGTCGTCGTCGCCCTGGTAAAGCCCTACCCCCAAATCTCCCTCCCCGAAGTCTTGAGGAGCCTGCATTTTGTCTTGGCCCTCGCGTTTTTGGGATTGGGCATCTGGTTTGACTTAGTGAATCAGCGGCGCCTGGCGCGTGCTGTCCGAGAAGAACGCGCCCTCCAGGGAGATGATGCCCGGGTGGCTGGAGACCTCTGCCGCCGGGGGAGCGGCCAGTGCCCACACTCAGGAGGCAACTACGGGGAGGTTTTTTGCCGGAAGGATCGAGGAGGATTGAGCCCCACTTGGGGGCTGTTGAGCCGGAGTGGGCCTCGGATCAAGCGGGATTGAGCCGGATTCAGAGGGAGTAAGCGGGATCAAGCCGGATGAAGCGGGATTATAAGCGGGATTAAGCCGGATTGAGCAGTTTTGGGCCAGGGCTGGATCAGAACTTGACCTCCCAGGAGTTGCATCCGAAACTGCACACACGGCTGGCGTCGGCGGCGCGCCCAAGCCCCGAAGCACGGAAGGCCCACGAGAGCCGGGGAGGCGGCGGCTGCCAGCTCGCAGCTCACGGGGGGGGGGCGGGGCATCCTGCTGGTCCGATGAGGACGGCGCTCCGCGGGGCCTCCCGGGAGCCCACGGAAGTGACGACAGGTGCGCGGCCCCCTTGGGAGGGCGAGGTCTCTCCTGGAGGGGGGCAAGTGAGAAGGAGAAGGCCTGCTCAGAAGGCGGCGGGGCTTCTCCGAAGCCCTCGCGCATTCCGAGAGGTGTTCATTGCGCGTCTTCGGGAGAGGCTTCGAAAACTTCTCAGAAGGCTGGGGGACGTCCGAGCCTTCTTACAAGGCCTTCTCCTTCTCACTTCCCCCCCTCGCTCGCCGCCGAATCGCTGCATGAATAGCTGGCGACATCCGCAGCCTGCCCCCGCAGCCATCGACTCTCTGGGATCGGTGGGAGGCAGGGGCAGGGCTCGAATTTCGCCACGTGCTCGACGACTTCCGAGCCCTACCCCCGCCGCCCTTCGAGGTGCCCAAATCGTCGATCGGCGAGGGTGGGGTTCGGAATTCGCAGCCGAATAAAACGCGGACGAGATTGAGTGGAGAGGGCACGCGAGAAGACACAAGTCCCTTCCGAGGGCTACACTACCACAGGAAAACAGAAGGCACATATCGCGAAACCCAGGAAACAAAAATACCCTTGCCATGGCGAGGGCGATGTACTAATCATGCTCGACCGTAAACAATTGGAGCTCCGCGCGGATGTCTCGGATCGGTGCTGCACCCCCTCTCCCTGGCGCGCGGAGTGCGCCGGGGGCGGCGACGGAGGCGCCACCAGTGCAGCACCAGAAAATCTTCAGTGGCAACCCGTGGGAGCCTCCCATACCATCCTGTTGGATCTTTCGAATCCACCCGAATCGACGCCAAATCGACTTCGATCGGCGCTAACCGACGCTAATCACAGCTATGATCGGCGCTGTGCCATCGATTCCCAGACGCTGATCGACGCGAATGCGCTCCAGAGGCGGAATTGCGCGGGGGGGCACGGGTCTCCCATGACTTGCTGCCGAACGACTGCGCACGGCCCTCCGAAAACGCGTGCTGCTGCCGCTGCTTCTCCCCCGAGGCCTTGCGCAGCGCGTCCACCTCGCGCGAGGCCATCTGCTCCGCCGCGCGCACGCCCTCCGGGCCACCGACGAAGCCGATGCGCATGGTGTCGATGATCTTCACCGCGAACACCGCCGCGTCCCGGGCCCGCTCGCAGCGGTAGACGGACCCGTAGCTGCCTTTTCGGAGGCGGCGGAGGCGCCCTCTCCCACAACAGAACCAGAAAAAAACGGCACCCACACACACACATAAACATGTGAAGCTCCTCTCCATCGCTCGGACGTCCATTTCCTGTGTTTTTTTCGACTTCGTGCGTGGTTTTTTCGCGAAGTGATCAAGGCTGCTCCTCGATGGTCCTCGCCGAGGAAAAAAAAGCACACGTCCGAGCGATGCCAAGGCTCCTGCGCGGACCCCCCCTTCCCAGGCGCGCGGAACGCTCCTGGGGCGGCGCTGGAGGCGCCACCAGGGGGGGGCCCGTGCCCAGACGCTGGTCCAAGAGATCCGCGCGGCCCTTCGAGAGTTCATGTTCACAGTAGGAGCTCGACCACCAGAAATCTTCCACGAGAAGCCCAACCCTGAGACCCCAGGCCGTCCATTGATTTCCACTGTGGGAGCGTCACGCTTTCCACAGCAAAACCACCGACACACACACAAGAAACCCAGGGCACCCTGGACGCACGCAGGGTGTTGCCTGGCATGGGTTTCCACTGTGTGCTGTTTGCTCCTCTCTGGCGCAGAAGGCGTCGGAGCCCTGCAAAGTCTCTCGCGTCGGACTCCGGGCCCGCACATCATCCCAATGGCGCCGGCCCCAGCCCCACACATCCCTCACGGGCGGCGAAGACGGGGCCCGGGGCTGCGGGGGGGGGGTGCAGCACGTCTGTGAGACAACTGCCGTCCGCACACGTCCAAGTGTTTTCTGCACAAAAACACACACACACACACACACACACACACGCACACACACGCACACACACACACACACACACGCACACACACACGCACACACACACACACACGCACACACGCACACACGCACACACGCACACTCCCTCGAAAGCAATCCCCGGACCCCACCCAGACACCATCCACACCAGCTTCTCGAGCTGCGCCCAGCCGCGGCCATAAGGAGCCACCCCCGAAGCCAACAAGTGGAGCCAAATACAGTCGGACCCAGGCCAGAATCATACCCCTCAAAGACATGATGCCATCCGCCGGCCAAGATACACAGGACATCCGAGGGTACCCACCCCAAGTTTCAGAAGAACGCCCCTCAAGCAGGAAGAACACTACAGGGTAAAGAGCCAGAATCTATACACCGACGCATTTTCCGGCCCCGCACTGAGATTCGCACAGAAAAGCGGATTCCGGTGTATACGATATCCTGGTGTGTACATGTTTCGTTGTCCCTGGGAAAACGGGAGGGGAAACAAAAAACCAAAAAACGCCACACCACCCCGACGTCATCCCCGGCCCTCAAGAAGTCTTGGGATTGAAAAACAACCCGCCACTGGTAATGTATATGCCCCTGCTTCCGATTATACGGTACCCCCCCGAACCGACCTCGATCTGATGCCTCGGTCCGACTGCAGCAACAATAACAGCAACAACAGCAACAACAGCAACAACAGCAACAACAGCAACAACAACAACAACAACTACAACAACAACAACAACAACAACAACAACAACAACAACAACAACAACAACAACAACAACAAGAAACCGGGAGGAGGAGGCCTCCCCACAGCAGCCGCCTGGATACTCTTAGCCATCAAGGGCCACACGTTTTTACCGCACCTCTTCGCACTTTCTTAGTTGGAGAGCAGAAGATCCACCCTCATAACAATCATGCCGACACGCGAAGCCATTTAGTAAACGCACCCAATGAAAGAATTGAACAGAACAGGGCTGTTTGGTAAACGCCGAAAGCCGACTAGTAAACGACAACTATCGGGTCTGGGTGATTTTTCCTGTCTTCATTATCCGCACTGGCGGCTGCCTTAACTTGATTGTCCAGGCCTGAGTCGGAGATTATATTTCTTGAGGCCCAGCACTGTGTTGTCTAGACGCCACAAGCTCTGTTCTTCATGTCCGACCAGCGTCCAAGGAGGAGGAGGAGGAGGAGGAGCAAGAGGAGGAGGAGGAGGAGGAGGAGGAGGAGGAGGAGGAGGAGGAGGAGGAGGAGGAGGAGGAGGGAGGAGGAGGAGGAGGAGGAGGAGGAGGAGGAGGAGGGAGGAGGAGGGAGGAAGAGGAGGAAGAGGAGGAGGAGGAGGAGCCCGCACCTTCGCCGAGGACCTCCTGGAGGCAGTACGTCTCCCCGTTAGCGTCGAAGCTCCTGCCGCCGCGCACCGGCGCCGCGCTCGGAGGGCGAGGCGAGGGCCGAGGCGAGGGCCGAGGCGAGGGCGAGGCGAGGCGAGGGCCGAGGAGGGGGGGGGGGGGCGGGGGAGCGAGGCGAGGCGAGCGGCGCCGGCATGCGCAAGGCGCGCAATTCGCTTTGGGAGGGCGCCCCCCCGCGGAGAGGGCGGCGGCGGGGCCGTGCAGCGGGGGCCAGTCCACGAGGAGCCGTCCACGAGAAGCCCGACCCCGAGACCCCAGGACGTCCACCGATGTTCGGTGTGCGGGAGCGTCACGCTTTCCACAGCAGAACCCTCGGAAGACCTGGAAGCCCAGGGCACCCTGCAGGCAAGCTCAGGGTGCGGCTCTTGGCGCGGGTCTGCACTGCAGCCCCTCTCCGAGGCTGTTTGTCCACCTCGCTCTTGGCCCGTGCGGTCTTCTCGCGGACCCTCGGGAGGTTCCTGGGACCCGTGAGGAAGCCTTGCGGCTCCACTCGCTGTCCAGGAGGAGGAGGAGGAGGAGGAGGAGCAGCGGGAGGAGGAGGCAACCACATGCCTTGGGGAAGGCGCTGTCCGCGGCCTGGACTGCCCCAGCCCTTGCCCCACTCGGACCCCAGCGCAGGAGGTGCCCTCTCTCCGCGCTCCAGTCCTCCTCCTTCGGGCGTGCGCAAGCGTGGACCCTCAGCCCAGAACCCTGCCCGAACCCTCACCCCGAGGGACACGCGGATCCGCTGCGCAGCCGCCAGATCTGATCCATGGATCGGGAAGGTGCCCCCGAGAAATGGCGCCACTGCCGCCCGATGTGGCAGCGGAGAGCCGCCGATTCTAGATGGAAACGGGGTCCCTCGCTAATCCACGCGCCTCAATCCATGCGTGTGCTTCCGCGACTTTCTCCCCGTCTCCCCGGGGTAACACCCGCTGTTTAATTAGGTTGGTTCTGCGCCCTCCCTTCTAGGGGGCAAAGGGCCGCTGGGGAGGGGGTATGGCAGCGCCCGTTACCGTGGTACCAGTATGCAGTATGCAGGAGGGTAGGATCAGACAAGACAAGAAATCATCGGAACCCAAGGGTGCCAACATCGACTGCAAGCAAAAGTAGCGCGCGCACACATACACACACACACACACACACACACACACACACACGCGCGCGCACGCACGCACGCACGCACGCACGCACGCACGCGCGCGCACACACAAACACACATATACAAACACACGTGTATACATATATATATATGTATACATACATGTATACATACACACACATCTATCTATATATATATATATACATATATGTGTGTGCAACGTGCACGGAAGATCACATGCCTGGACCTGGGTGGCCTTCACATGGCGGTCTGCACATCCGCTCTGCTCTTCTACGAGATGAGGGGGGGAGGATCAGGGGGAGGGAGAATCCCAGGGCTTCCTGGAGGACCCCTTGAGGCCCGGCGGAGACCCGAAAAAGATAATTAAAAAAAGCGTGCCAAAAGACTTCTACCCTCGATCTGTGGGAGCACGAAAAAGGTACAAGTACGGCTGCTCCCCCAGGCCTCTCCCTGGCGGTGCGCTCTGACCAGAACCTCGAGAAGAGTCTGGCCGTGGCGACGAGGGAAGGGTAGCGGAACCAGTATTAGTTCCTCCTCTGATGATTCGGGGATGGACAGACCCCCCTTTAGTAAAACGTGGTTTAGCGAAAACGACCCGAGGCCCAAACCTGGCGGGCGCAAGCGTGGAAAATAACGGCCACGGCGCCCTCTCGAGAACCGAAAACGGACAATTCACTAATCGACGTGTCACAGTTGGGGGTTCTGTCCACCCCCGAATGATGCTCCGGGCTGACAGCGGAGGCCTTCCAAATGGGATTCAAGCAGATGGTGTCGGAGGATCACGCGGCATCGCCGATGCATCGGCGATGCATCGGTGATGCGTCGGCGACGTCAGCGGTACATCGGCGACGCTCGTGTGGAGAAAATCAGGCTCCATGTCGAGCCGCATCGGCGATGCATCGGCGATGCATCGGCGATGCGGCGCGATCCTTCGGCCCCATCTACAATCGGTCCCCGGACAGAATAATATTATTCAGAACAGGAGACCATCGGCCACCCCAAACTGAAGAGTATTCGAGGGTGCCCTCCCCAGGATGGCAAGAGCACCCAACAAACACGAAGAACATCAGGGTACCCTCCCCGAACAGACCTCGATCTTAGACCTCGGTCCGACTGCATTCGGACCGTATCTGGGAAGCCTAAAACGACGGTGGCGAGGCCATAATCTCTGGCGACGACGAAGATGCAGCGGTGTCCGTATCCGTCCCTCCTCTGACGATCCTTGAGGACGACGACGGCGACAGAGGCGACAGAAACGACGGAGACAAAACGACGACGACGACGACGACGACGACGACGACGAGGACGACGGCGACGACGGCGACGAGGCGCTCTTGCAGCCGCGCTCGCCGCGCTCGTGCTTCAGGATCTGGCAAGGCGACAGCGGGGGCGCGCTCAGCCCGGAGGGTTCCAAAGGGGGGCTCTTGGGGAGGGGGGTTTCCAGGAGGGGTACCCCAGGGGCCTCGCGCCCCCTGTTTCGACGAGGCTCCGAGGCCCCATAGGGGGGCTCTCTGGAAACCCCCTCCCCCCTCCCCCAAAAAAAAACTTTGTTAGGACGCCCGAAATGGGTACGGAAAAAATGGGTGCAATGCCCAACAAGAAAGGTTGCCCCAAACCAGCAGCGGCCGCTGTTGGGCAGGCGGCCTTCTGTCTCAAACGTACACGGGCCGCGGCGACGCCGACCGCGACTTCCGCTCGACATGCACAGGGGCCGCTGTTGGGCATCGTGCCCAATCTTTCCGTACTGCAGGTCCGTGCCGTGTCGACCCTGGCGTTGGTTCCTGACACCGCGCTGGCTCGTTCAACCTTGAACGATCGGCCGTTTCCGAAACGCCCAAATCGTTCCACACCGAACGATTCTGGGCCGCCCGCGGCGTTCAAAATTGAACGCCGCTGGCGGGGTCGCCGCCGGTCGACACGACACGAACATACCGTACTTCGTTCGCGCCGACCCTTGGAACCCTCTGGTCAGCTGGGCCCTCGGCGACGCCATCGCCGGCGCGGCCGGCGCGCTCCCGCGCGCGGGGAGCGCGCCGCGCGCTCCCGGCCGGCGAGCCTGCTCGGGCGCCGCCGAGGGGAGGGGAGAGGGCCTCCTGCCCGGGCGCGAGCGGTGATGGGCCGATGCTCCACCACCGCCACCACAGGCAGGAGGGGGAGGAGGAGGAGGAGGAGGAGGAGGAGGAGGAGGAGGAGGAGGAGGAGGAGGAGGAGGAGGAGGAGGAGGAGGAGAAGGAGGACCTGCCCATCCTCCCTTCTCCACCGTCCTGCTTATGGTAGTGGTGGTGGGAAATTGACCCGTCGAGCTGAACTGCGCTTGCCGTCTTCGCTGCGGTGCCGTTCTCGCTCGCTCCGTCTTCGTCCCGCCTTTCCGCTGCAGAATGCGATCAGAACGAAGATGGTCCTCGCATCGAAGCCGACTTCACGCTGGATCCGCGCCGACGGCGCGTGGAATATCGGGACAAAAAACGCAAGTTACAGAACATACGAGGTCCCCCGAAGATGCGAAGTAAAGGATCTGATGATGCTAGAGGCAGGTTCAACAATGGGAAAACCGATTCTGCATCTGGACGGAGTCGAGAACGAAGCGGATCGGCTGCGCCAGGATGCACAACAACGCCCTTCGAGCATCCAGCCGCACCAGACCGTCAGCATATCGGAATCGAACGCAGCTGGCTGGAGCGGATGTCGAATTGGATCGATCGGATCTAAGTGGACCTTGTCGAGGTGGTCCTAGTCCCAAGGTGGCCCCAGCTCTTCGCGCCGCCTTAGGGCCCCTGGGGCCCTCCTGTGCCTCGTGCGGAGCGCTCTGGCAACACCCCAGAGGACGAGGGTCGAGGAGGGAGAACTGAGCACCAGGGCTGCTTGATGCCCTTGTGCCTGGCGCGTTTGGCCCCTTTCGATGGCCACCGGGAGCCTGTCCAAATGCCTTCGGCGACAACTGGGCCTCCTGCTCCCCCCCTTCCTCCTCCTCCTCCTCCTCCTCCTCCTCCTCCTCCTCCTCCTCCTCCTCCTCCTCCTCCTCCTCCTCCTCAAGCCATGAGGCCATCGGGCACGCCCGATCTGGTCGACGAGCCCCATGGCCTCCTGCCGCTGGAGCGGAAGAGGCTCTCGTCCACTCTCTGCTTCTTGAGTTGAGGCCCTGAGAGCGTGGGGCATCATCGGAAGATGCCTCAGACACAAGGTGGAAACCTGAAAGGAGACAGGACCTGGAGGGAGGAGGAGGAGGAGGAAGAGGAGGAGGGGGTAGGAGGACCAGAGGAAACCCAAGATGTACCAAGCCCCGAGTGGTTCTCCACTGCGGGAGAGGCCCTCATTGACCGAAGAACGCCGCGTGGGCCTGCCATGCGTGCAAGACAAACTTTGCAAAGGACACGCCTCACATCAATCCAGCTGTAAGAGATGCAAATTCGTACGATCATTACATTACAAGCCAAAAAATCCCCTGTGATAGCTCCGATGTGACTGCCCTCCGCCCGTGTCCCCTAATCCAGAACCTCGGCTCACGAGAGAAAAATAACAAGAAACTCGAACCCGAACATGAAACGTGAGCCCAAGCACAAAACGAAGCGTGAACCCAAACATACAAACGACGAATCTGAGGCGCCAAGATAGAGCCCCGTTTGAAAACGGCACGCCCTCCACCCGCGCAACTGAGGCAAGCTTTTGAGAGGCATTCGCGCGCCCAAGACGTGAGCCCCAGTTTGGACATCAACCGCCCTCCACCCGCGTACAGTCGGGGCGTTGACCTAAGGAACCCTAAATAAGGAACGAGGCCCCTTTTCCCCATAAGTTGAGCTTCGATCTCCCATGGAAGACCTCATGGAAACCTAAGGCAAGCTGTAGAACAATCAAGGAACACCGAGCCCCTCCCCAACGAGAAGGGTTCCTTCTTCAGCGCCCCGACTGTAACTGCTGGAGACGCCCCACGCGCCTTACAGTTGCACGTTGCAAGCCTTGAAACCCTAAACCAGAAGGATGGCCGAGGCGAGACCCTGGCCCGCCACGACGACACGCCTGGTGGCACAACAGGGAAGAGCTATCAACCTTAAGAGGGAAGCTGCAGGCGGCCTCCGAACCCCACCAGCCCTTTGGGCGTAGGTGGGATTCCTCTGTTACCCCTCCTACTTCCCCTTCGGGGAAGGGTTTACCCTTCCCCCTACCCCCTCCCCTGGACCTGGACGGGGGTTCCGCGACGCGTTGGAGCGTCCAAAACGGCCTCGGCGAGAAAGCCAAAATCAGACGCGAAGCGTTCAGAATTGCCTATTTTCTGAACAGCCTCCCAGCTCTAGAGGAAGAAATCTAAACTGTTGACGGCCCGCGCGGATTTCTTGGATCTGAGGTGGACATCCCTCCCTGGTGCGCGGAGAAATATCCGCGCCCAGCGCCGAAAGTGCATGATCGTGCCATCTTTGCGTCTTCGAAGAAATCGCCCCGACCTTCACGGCCAGGTCTGTCCCGAGATCCTGGTCGGCAACCAGACATGGGACGTCCTGTTTGTTCCAACACGTACAACAGGAGCTCGACCACAAGAAACCTCCCACGAGAACCCCAACACTGAGACCCCAGGGCGTCCATTGACTTCCAGTGTGGGCACGTCACGCTTTCCATCGCAAAACCATCGAAACCCAAGAAATCCATGGCACCCTGGAGGCAAGCAGGTGTTTCTTGGCATGGGCTTCCACTGTACGGTGCCCCTGGAAGCCCCGACCCTTTCCCCAAAGACCGGCTCTCCGTCCCGAGTCGTTGTTTTTCGACGGTCCCGGGGCCCGGCGAGGGCTCCCGGGGGGCCGAAAACGGCGAAAAACCTCCCGTCGCGCTAGTGTTCAATAAGGTCATGTCCAGGAGCGTAGGGTAAAATGCCTAATTCCACTGTGATGCCCCATTGTGATGCTCCCTTGTCCGCTCTCGGTCTGACTTCTGCGGACCCCAAGATCCGACGTAGCGTAAACATTGCAACGCATCATAAAAAATCACGCCGGGAGCCCTAGACCCCACCGTTTCGCTACATGTTCCGAGCCGGATCGATATGTGAGGGTCCCGGGGCCCGAAAAGAGGTGAGCAGGCCTGTCTCGAAAAAATGAAGACGCCAGGATCTCAGGGGTGAGCGGTTTCTTATTCGGCGTTTCGACATTGGGCGGAAGGGGGAGAGGGGGGTGACGGTGTCTGGCTCCGGACCTCTGCTTAATGCGACTGTTTGCAACAGTGCGTCGCATGGGGGAGACCCCACCTGCTCGAAAGAGGCGCCAGAAACAGCAAAGATCTACTCCACAAGGGGGGTTGAGGGGGGGGGGGGGGGGGGGCGAAGGCCCGCGCCGATCGGCAAAACAAGGAGTTAGAAAATGATCACAAGACGTCAGACATGTTCGAGGCCTTCTGTGCCTGAGGTTACTGTCAGTGATCGATCCAGGACAGACCCGTGGGGTCGAGTCTCTGGCCGCAGCGCTGGGCCAGCCGGGCGGCGCCGCCCCCGGGGTGCCAGGGCAGGGCGCGCCAAGCGGGCGGCAGGCGGGCGGCGAGAGACGCGCGCGAGAGGTTCCCCAGCCCACCGCACACCAGCCCCCCTCCCCCACCTCCGGCCCCCATGTCCGTGCTCCACCTCCATGCTTCTCCTCCGCGCCGCGTGGCCGCCCAGCGCGTGTCCTCCAGCTCCCCCTCCTCCTCCTCCTCCTCCTTCTCCTCCTCCTCCTCCTCCTCTCCTCCTCCTCCTCTCCTTCTCCTCCTTCTCCTCCCTCCTCCTCCTCCACCCCTCCTCCTCCTCCTGCTCCTCCTCCCCCCCTCCCCCCTCTCCTCCTCCTCCTCCTCCTCCTCCTCCTCCTCCTCCTCCTCCTCTTCCTCCTCCTCCTCTTCCTCCTCCTCATCATCCCCATCATCAGCAGCAGCAGCAGCATCAGCATCAGCATCAGCATCATCATCATAATCCTCCTCATCCTCCTCCTCCGCCTCACCCTCCGCCTCATTCTTCTCATGAGCATCACCATCATCATCAGCAGCAGCATCATCATCATCGTCATCAGCATCACCATCATCATCATCATCAACAGCATCATCATCATCAGCATCATCATCAGCAGCAGCACCATCATCAACTGCATCAGCATCAGCATCGTCACCATCATCAGCAGCATCATCAGAATCCCCATCACCATCCCAATACTCATTACCATCATCATCCTCGTCCTCAACATCCTCACCATCATCATAATCATCCCCATCATCCTTATCGTCCTCCTCATCATCAGCAGCAGCATCATTACCATCATCACCATCACCAGCATCATCGTCATCACCATAACCATGGGCACCATCATGAGCATAATCACCATCCATCATGACAACCACCGTCGTCCGAATCGTCGATACTTGCATCGCCATCCTCAGCATCAGCATCGACAGATCCTTCACGGTCATAAATGATACATATCAGCATCAATTGCATAATTCATCGCCGCAGCAGTGTACTCATCGCCGTCATCGGCATCGGCATCATCATCCTCGTCACCAGCATCGTCGCCATCGTCGGCAGCAGCAGCATCCACATTGGCACTTGCCTCCTGCCCATGCGTCAACGTCGCCCTCCCCCCGCCCCGCCACCCCATACAGTAGAGGCCAGTCAACAGGAAACCTTCCACAAGAAACCCAACCCTGAGACCCCAGCGCGTCCACTGACTTGAGGTGTGGGCACGCCACGCGTTCCATAGCAAGACACTCGAAACCCGCGAAACCCAGGGCACCCTGGAGGCACGCAGGGTGTTTCTTGGCATGGGTCTCCACCCCATAATGTCTCCCCCCTCGAATCGCGGCACAAAGAACAAGCCCCAGGGAGGCGCAACCTGGGTGATCTGCCGCGACTCGTGGTTGCCGCGCAGGAGGGTGATGCAGGCTGGGTACCTCGCCCGTGAAAACTAGCGGCGAGCAAAAGAGGCGACGACGACCACAAGGCTCGAGGATCCAGGATCAATTAAATGGGGGGACACACAAAGAAATAGACACAAATCCAAAGATTCCCAATGCTTACCCATATTTTCTGGTTTTTCGTCTTTCCCCCCATTTCCAATATGTTCCTATATTTTCCTGGGAATAAGCGATGAATTGTGTCTGTGTTTCTTCCCTCCGGATCAATGTCTGTGGACGATCCTCGCCGTGTGGGGGGACTTCCAGGGAGCGAAACGAGCCTGGAACCCCAGAACTTGAACGACGATAACGACGAGATCGCTGACGTCGACAAAAGAAGACGACGACGACGACGACGACGACGACGACGACGACGACGACGACGGCGTCGACTTGAGAGGCCCTCGTCCTCTCCCTCCGCGGCGGGAGGTGCCGAGCGAGTCCCCGACACTGGCGCTGAAAGGCGCGCGGGGAGCTCGGCACTCCCCGCAGTGGAAGCTCAGCGCAGGCAGCGCTGTGTCCTGCCCGTCGCTTGGGTCTGGGGGTGCAGAGCTCTTCCAGGCCGCGCGGCGTTTTCTTGCTGACGGGCAGTGGCCGCCTCCTGCCCCCCCACCCTCCTCCGCCTCCTCCCCGTCCTCCAAGAGGCCCCAGCCGTAGCCGCAGCCGCGCTTCCGTGCTGCCAGCACGCGCTCACGCTGCGGGCCCAGCGTGCCACGCGCGAAGGCGAGGGGCCGCGTCGCCATGACTGAAGCGCGGATGGGCGGCGCGCTGGGGGGGGAGGGGGAGGGGGGAAGGCTTCTTGGAAAGAGGCTGCTTACTAGAAGGCGCGGGCCTTACATCTACAGGCAAGGCCCGCACCCGCTAAGAAGCGGCCTGCTTCTAAGAAGCCTTCCCCCCTCACCCTACCCCCCTCTGCGCGCCGCCACGCGAAGCGGCAGCGATTCCTTGCCTCCTCCGCCTCGGCTGCCTGCGGCGCCAGCTTGGCAGGATGCCGGGCCGGCACCTCCCCCAGAGTGGCAGGGTGCTGCGATGCCGCCCCTGCCAGCGCCGCCGGGCCTCCCGGTGTGGCAGGGTGCTCCGGCGCCGCTGCCTCCGCCGCACCAGCCGCCGCCGATGGCCCCACACCTGCTGCTGGCCTTCCTGCTGAAGGACCTGCTATCGGAAAACCAGGGCCGGGCATTCTCGTTCTTCCAACTTTTCTGGTCAATAAGCGCGTCCTGCTCCTCCTCCTCCTCCTCCTCTCCTCCTCCTCCTGCAAGTTCCTGGAGCTGGTCCTGCTATTTCGCAACCAATACCTCCGCCGCCACCCGGGGCAGTTTCGACTCCGAGGGCCGCACGGCCAAAGCCGCCCGTGCGGAAGGGCCTCTGGTTGGACACCGCCTCAATCGATGGCATCGTCCGACCTCAGACAAGACCAGTGATGCCCGTGATGTTAGTACTGCATGCGATAGTCAGCGTATTGCGTCAGGGGACACTCCCCTGTCTGTCTCAATGAGGACGCCCCCTGTCGACTCCGCAGGCCGAGCCCCGCTCTCCTAGAGAGGCAGTTGCCAGGCGCCGTGCCCCGAGTGCTCTTCTTGTGAGCACTGCAGACGGACAGCAGGCAAGCGAGTTCGGACGAGGGTCCTCGACCGTACTTTCGGTCCCAGCCCGCCCCTGCGCCTGTCCCCACTGGGTCGTCCCCGCTCGCGCTCCAGATCCCCTCGGCCTCGGGGTAGCGGGGTAGCCACGACACTCGCGCCCTCCAGGCTGGCTTGGATGAGGCGTAGGAAGCTCCACCAGACATGCAAGCACTGCTGTCTGTCAGCTGTGCTGATGCGCAGCCCGGCAGCTCTGTTCAGGAGCGGGCTGCTCCCACGCCAGAAGAGCATCGGTTGCCCGAGAGTCGTTCCGCCGATGCAGAGGCTCACTAGGAGCTGCTCGTGGTAGACGGTAATGCATACATCCCCAGGCAGGGCGCGCTGGCATCTCCCAGAAGAGCGCTGTGCAGGTCGGCGCAAAGCCCGAGCACGAGAAGCCTCTACTACCCGCGCAAGGTGTCTCTCGGGCCCTTGCCCTGCAGCCTCAGCGGGACGCGAGAGAGAGGTCTAGCACTGCGCAGCTCTCTCTTGCAAAACGTGCAAGAGGAGGTCATGGCCCGCCTCGCGAGCGAATAGTGGTTGGTTCCACTCTCTAAAGCGCGCTCCCAACGGCCACCAGCGTGCCACTTCTGCGGGCACATCGCTCATGATGGACGCTGGCGCAGTGCTGAAATGTGCAAGGCAGGCAAGGAGCTTGAGTGCCAAGCTTGCTGTATCAGGGACTCTCCCTCGCAAGAGAAGGATTCTCTGATTGCCTGGCCCGATCGCTGGTCGCAGGAGTTCCCCGACGTCTTCGCAGAG